CTTTTAATTATATGAAATAGAAAAGAAAATTTGTAAAAGTGAAAAAGATGTTATCAATCCAAAATTAATGTCAATTTGTAGTTGCCAAAAAAATTTTATTGAATTATTGTACTTGTGTTTATATAAAAATAAAATATAATGATACTTGCTTTTATATTATGGGCACCAATTTGTGGTGGCGTGAATGTTGGCTGTATGTTGTTCGGTATTGTGGCTGTGATATGTAGCTGGATGTTGTACTTGATGACGATTGCGTGTGTGCGCCGCGTCTCGAGCGTCTCGAGCGAGTGTGTGACCTGCTGCACTGCGTCGCCCGCAATCGGCTATGAAAGCTGGTTCTCAGTCCGAGGGGAGTATCTGTCCTCGACCAGCTGTGTGGCGGACCAACGGTGTCAGCACCAAGCAAAGCGGAAGGTTTAGCAACCAAGTATCGCTATGCGTTGAATAATAGGAGCGCAAGCTGAAGGATGTGTGAAGGTTGCATGCACGCTAACAATCAAGGAACGCGGAGTTAATTAAAAGCCATTATATTCTTGTAAACGCAATGGAAAATGTTACAAAGGCAGGCGGGACTTGGTTTGGATCCCGCGAGAGAAACGTGTGGGCGAGTCGGTCGCGTCTGTCTCTGCGCGTGCGCGCGCAAGTTCCTGTAGCCGCTCCCTGCGCCTCTCACGAGCCCCGGCTCCTCCTCGGCGCGGTCAAGGGGTGAGTGTTGAAGGCTTGACCTGGGCCGGTGGCAGTCCCGCGGTCTGCATGGCGGCTTCGGTGTAGAAGCGGCGAGTGTCACGGCGGCCGATGCTGCACGTGGCCGAGTTCGATGGCGCAGAGTTGCCACGGCCTATCCTGCTGCGCGCCGAGTTCCAAGGAGCGGCCAGGAGTCGATGATCGCTCGGGTGCTGTTGCGCTCGAGGAAGTCGAGGGCCTCGATGCGTCCCCTGCAGGCGGTGGCCGGGACAGGAGGAGGAGGGAGCCGACCCGAACAGGTCCAGGAGTCGTTGCTTGCAGCGACCGGTTGGGCGCCTGGCTCGTCGTCCGGCGATTCGTCCCTCCT